CCCCCCCCAGCCTTATTCTGCCTTTTTTAGACTCAGGTTTAAAACTTTTCCCAGTTTCAGCGGTTGCATCTGCAATTACACAGAGGGGTCGGTAGATCTCGGGAAATAACTGTGAGGCTCGGAGCCAAAAGGCAGATCCTCTACCTGGCTATGCTCGATTTTCACTAATTTAGGAGTGAGCCAAAGGCTCCAGAAACGTGGCTGTTGGATTGCGTGAACTTTGGGTCAGGATCAGCTGGGAAGAGGGTGCAACTCCCCTCTTCATAGCTGTTTCAAAGTGCAACGTTTACCCAGCAGGTATTTTATATGCTGCCTATCAAATAGTCTGGAGAAGGCCAGTGAAGTTAGATAATAGTGAATGAATGGATTGCAAAGCCCGAGGGATGTGAGACGCTCTCATGTGATCTCTCTGGCAGGTAACTTAGCTAATCTACCCTAGCGTTATAATCTAATCCATCTACTTGCTGCAGTTCCACACGCTTGTTTTTGCCTAGGGATATGGACGAATTGAACTTTTTTATTGAGCAGAGGAGTTGCGTTTGAGGCATTTAGAAGATCCAAAACCCCGTCTTCTTGTGCTTTGACAGTTTGCATTTTGGGGAGAAAGAGACGTAGTCTTTTCCTAATACCATCCTGCTCATTCAGCAGAAGCAATGTGACCATTTGGAAGCTTGTTTGCCTAATAATTGCTTTCAAAATGCAACAAGGTCCTAAAAACCTCAAGCAATTAAAGGCATTAAAGTCTCATTTTGCATGTAGTGAATGCATAGACTTCCTAATCAGCCAGCTGTAAAAAAAGTGCTGAAAGTTTAACTCAGCAGATTGTAGGAGGGTTTTTTCCTTCGCTTTCCATGGGCTCTTTCCAATACGGTTCTGGGAGAGGGTGGCCACAGAGGACCATCCAGGTACACCGAGGCAGCAGCGGGGTCCCTGGGATGCAGAAACAGCGCGAGGTCGTTCCCTGCAGAAGTTGCTGCAGATCCAGATGTGCATGGAGGGTGGCACGTTTTCAGAGCTGGTGGGATTTGCACCGTTCAGGACGGGACTAGCAGCTACGGCTGGTAGCTGGTAACTGTCAGAGATACCACCTTTTTAGAGCAAAATATCAGATCGGACCTTGAATATTTACTCTAAAATCCAGTGTTGCCCAGGTCTGCTCCTCACTGGCCCAGCAAAACTCCTGTTGGAAGCTTCCTCAACTCTGGTAATTTTGTCCATGAGTAACAGTTGAAAAATGGTAAATTACCCCCAGTTTAGACCTCCTAAGTGAATGCTGAAATGAACTGAAGTGCTCAATGTGACATTTGCAGTCCACATTTTAGAACAAATCTAATTTGCAGTAAATTGGAGGTGCAGATGGGAGCAGGTGGGTGGCTAATGCTGCCCTAGGAGTAGTCAGGCTGGAGCAGACCTGAGCTCCAGCATGTCCTGAGACCTGCCTCCACCAGCACCAGGTGCTCTGGAGACGGACGCGCTGCATCCCGCAGTGGGCGAATACACCACAGCCGTGCAGCGGGGCCTTCCCTTCCCAGCCTCCCATCAGCCAAAGCCAGGCCAAGTGCCCAGATTAATCTCGCAAATAATTTAACTCCCCGTTTTACCCAAAACTGAACATGGACACAGATCAGTGGCAGGGTTAAGGACACTTTGAAATGTATCCATTGAGTTTAAAGGAGCAAAAATCACTTAAAGGGGGTGCTTTCCCATCTTGCCTCTTAATAAACCCCATTTCCTTAATAAATAAATAGCTCTGTAGGGATCACTTTCCATGTTCTTCTCCACTGGCTGTATCTGCAGCAGCAGTTCTGTAATGATCACTGGGGCTGAGGCACGGCGGACACACCACCGCAGACGTTTTCTGGACGCTGACGGACCCAAGTGGACCCTCTCTCTACCCGCTGTGTGTCAGGGCTCTCCTCCTATACAGTAACCCTGAGACGCTGTGGTTGTACACCCATTGCACAGACCCATAAAAACTGCCCCAGATACCTCCAGTCTAGTTGGAGAGGCTGCTGGCTTGAGTCACTTTTGGGACAGGAGATGGGGATTTTGGTCCCAGTGACTTTCAGAGCTGTTGTGCTTCAACTGAGAAATTTGGGGGAGGCAGGAGACCTTCCTCACTGCTTCTTCCGGCTTGTTAGCCAGCCTGGGGCAAGTTGCTTCCCTGCTCCCTGCCTCAGTTTCTCCAGCAGTAGGAGAAGAATAACAGTCCTCGCCACCATCTGCAACGTGCTCCTGCTGTCTGAGTCCGGCATGTGAAGACTTGAGGTTTTGGGTTCACAGAGGATTTGTTTGATCTAGAAATAGCAGGGTTAGAAAATTCCATCTGCCTTTTCTCGAGAGCTCTTGACGTTGAAAGAATTTAGCTGGATCTCAAGCCTTGGGCTGCGTTGTTCCCTCCCGCAGCAGCATGGAGACTGGCGCTGAGCAAACTAGCTGCGTTTGGCTCATATCCGAAGACGCAGCATGAGGAAAATAACATTCCAGAAAGGCGCAATGTGGAGAATAGAGTAAGTCACGTTTCCCTCATTGCTCCCACGTGAGGGTGGGCTGGGGAAAGCAGCTGTGTGAGGGCTCCTGCCCCGCCAGAGCCAGCAGGGCCGAGCCCCGGCTTGTGCCACAGAAACCCCACACCTAGTTGTGTGTTTTCATCTAAAACCAGAGCAAAGTCCACCTAGGACCAGGTTCATGTCTCATGGTGTTGTTTGGCCTCCTGGACATTTACCTCCGTGAATGAGCGGGTTGTGGAGGGCTGAACTGAGGGGTGGGTTTGGTGTGGGTCAGGCTCCTCCAGTAAATGTATGGTAGCTCCTTCCTCTTCCTCTGCATGACCTTGAGCGATGGCATGCGAAGGGCTGTGCCGGGGCAGCTACCGCCGAGCTGTCACACCCTGCCGTGGCGTTTTACCACAATAACTCACTTGTGTCCATGCTCACGTGCTTGACTCCTCCACCTGCCACCAGCATGTCCCCTGTTTGCTGTTGGATGCAGGAGTAGACATCATCTCAAGGGTGAGATTTAACTCACAGACTCCTCAATGACTGCATCCCATCAGGTGCCCACGTGCAAACAAGGTGGTGACCTCCCTTACGGTCAGTGGA